CCCGACCCCGGATAAGCGGAAGAAAATGGATGGATGGATGGATGGATGAATGGTTATGTACCACAGAGCTTTAAGGTTGCTGTAATTAAACCTTTACTTAAGAAGTCTGATCTTGATTCAGAAAATCTGGCCAACTATAGACCTACAGGTCCTTCTCAAAAAATTAGCATATTGTGTTAAAGGTCATTATTTTCCATAATGTAATGATAAAAATGAAACTTTCATATATTTCAGATTCATTGCACACCAACTGAAATATTTCAGGTCTTTAATTGTTTTAATACTGATGATTATGGCATACAGCTCATGAAAACCCAAAATGCCTGTCCCAAAAAATTAGCATATCATGAAAAGGTTCTCTAAACAAGCTATTAACCTAACCATCTGAATCAACGACATAACTCTAAACACCTGCAAAAGATTCCTGAGGCTTTTAAAAACTCCCAGCCTTGTTCATTACTCAAAACAACAATCATGGGTAAGACTGCCGACCTGACTGCTGTCCAGAAGGCCATCATTGACACCCTCAAGCAAGAGGGTAAGACACAGAAATAAATTGCTGAACTAATAGGCTGTTCCCAGAGTGCTGTATCAAGGCACCTCAGTGGGAAGTCTGTGGGAAGGGAAAAGTGTGGCAGAAAACGCTGCACAACGAGAAGAGGTGACCGGACCCAGAGGAGGATTGTGGAGAAGGGCCGATTCCAGACCTTGGGGGACCTGCGGAAGCAGTGGACTGAGTCTGGAGTAGAAACATCCAGAGCCACCGTGCACAGGCGTGTGCAGGAAATGGGCTACAGGTGCTGCATTCCCCAGGTCAAGCCACCCTTGAACAAGAGACTGTGTCAGAAGCATTTCACCTGGGACTGCTGTTGAGTGGTCCAAAGTTATGTTCTCTGATTACAGTAAATTTTGCATTTCCTTTGGAAATCAAGGTCCCAGAGTCTTGAGGAAGAGAGGAGACACAGAATTCACATTGCTTGAGGTCCAGTGTCAAGTTTCCACAGTCACTGGGGTGCCATGTCATCTGCTGGTGTTGGTCCACTGTGTTTTATCAAGCGCAGGGTCAATGCAGCTAGCTATCAGGAGATTTTGGAGCACTTCATGCTTCCATCTGCTGAAAAGCTTTATGGAGATGAAGATTTCATTTTTCAGCACGACCTGGCACCTGCTCACAGTGCCAAAACCACTGGTAAATGGTTTACTGACCATGGTATTACTGTGCTCAATTGGCCTGCCAACTCTCCTGACCTGAACTCCATAGAGAACCTGTGGGATATTGTGAAGAGAAAGTTGAGAGACGCAAGACCCAACACTCTGGATGAGCTTAAGGCTGCTATCGAAGCATCCTGGGCCTCCATAACACCTCAGCAGTGCCACAGACTGATTGCCTTCATGCCACACCGCACTGAAGCAGTCATTCATGCAAAAGGATTCCCGACCAAGTATTGAGTGCATAACTGAACATGATTATTTGAAGGTTGGCGTTTTTTGTATTAAAAACACTTGTCTTTCATTGGTGGGATGAAATATGCTAATTTTTTGGGACAGGCATTTTGGGTTTTCATGAGCTGTATGCCATAATCATCAGTATTAAAACAATTAAAGACCTGAAATATTTCAGTTGGTGTGCAATGAATCTGAAATATATGAAAGTTTCATTTTTATCATTACATTATAGAAAATAATGACCTTTATCACAATATGCTAATTTTTTGAGAAGGACCTGTATATCTAATCTAACTTTCATCTCAAAAATTCTAGAGAAAATAGTTGCAGGTCAGTTGCGTGAACATCTACAAAGAAATAATCTGTTAGACAGCTGCTGTCAGAGTCTTAACTGGAGTTACTAGGAGAGCTCATATCTCTCCAGTTTTAGTTTCTCTCCATTAACTCCCTGTCAAATCCAGAATAGAATTCAAAACCTTCTAACCTACAAAGCTCTCAACAACCTGGCTCCATCTTATATTACAGATCTTATTGTTCCATATTTTCCTAACAGAGCACTTCGCTCTCAGACTGCAGGTTTACTTGTGGTTCCTAGAATTTGCAAAAACAAAATGGGAGGCAGATCTTTCAGTTATCAGGCTCCTCTCTTGTGGAACCAACTTCCAATCTCTGTCCGTGAGGCTGACACATTATCCAGTTTTAAAACTAGGCTTAAGACTTTCCTTTTTCCTAAATCCTATAGTTAGGGTTGGCTTGGGTTTCTTGAGCTGTAACTTAGTTATGCTGCTATAGGCTTAGACTGCTGGAGGACAAACTGACCACAATTTTCACTCTAATACTGTCTTTACTCACTCTGCTCAACGTGTTTTGTATTTGTAATTATTTTTTCTATCCTTAACATGTGTTTTTTTGTCTTTCAGATACACTTGGACCTATACCTGGATCTACCATTCTGTGTTTGTCTGTCTCTCCTTCCTATCCTCTCAACCAGCCGGTCAAAGCAGATGGCTACTTGTCCTGAGTCTGGCTCTGCTGGAGGTTTCTTCCTTTTAAAAGGGAGTTTTTCCTTTCCACTGTTGCCACTGTGCTTGCTCAGGATGGGATACTGCAACAAAGCCAAGATTCAACTTGTCTGCTGGATTTCTTAGATACAGAACTTTACTAATTGGCTTTTATGTATGTGAATGTTCCTGTAAAGTGCCCTGAGACAACCTTGTTGTGATTTGGTGCTATATAAATAAACTGAACTGAATTGAATTGAACTGTGCGATAGCCACAGGAAACAAGATAATTATTAGAGGGGGCGTTGATGAAGATCAACTTCAATTCAATTCAATTCAAAAATACTTTATAAATATTCAATATTCAATATTCAAAAACACTTTCCCCAAAAGGAAATTATTTGTTGTTGTAACTCGTTATCCTCATTCCATTAAGAGATGTTATAGATACTGATGGCTGTAGACAGGAAGGATCTCTTGTAAAGGTCCATCCCACAGTGGATCCTAAGAAATTGGCTGCAGTTGCGTCCGATCCATCCACCCAGACTTGACTGGCCTCTCGGTTCCCCCGGGCTGTAGGACCACCCGAATGCCGGGCAGAACTCCTCCCAGAGCGATGGCCACTCCTCCCAGCAGTCTGCCGATCTCCTCGTCGCTGCGGACAGACAACTGTAGGCGCCGAGGGACGATCCTGTCCTTCCGCTGTCATGAGCCATGCTTACTGCTAGTTCCAGGATCTCAGTGGTCAGGCACTCGAGCACAGCTGGCAGGTAGATGAGAATGCATCCACAGAACGTCCTTTTCAACTAATTTGAGATTTGGTGCTGTAGTTGAGATATTATTTGAGCTTTTGAGATGTTAATCAGCTGCTGTTGGTTGTAGAAAACTGCCTTGTTGCCATGGTTACGCATCATAACAAATGTCCAAAACTAAAAAAGTTTCAGTAAAAATCCTTCCAGCTGCACAGTATCCGATACCAGAGGAAACTTGTGGATCATTTAAAGAATGTTCACCACAAAGAGCTAAATGAGTTAAGAACTTAATAAAGAAGAGACACGAGGGACACGTGTGACGTTTAGTGCAGTGCGCTCCATTTCAGCCCAGATGAGTTCTGCTCCACGCTTCTTTTGGTTCTGCTGGGCTGGCTCATGTGATTTATGAACAGCTAGAGTTAGCTTAAAGACACGCTGCTCTAAGGGGACATAAACGTCCAGCAGGAACATGGCGGGTGACCTGCTCAGCTCTAAAATGGACTGAATCAAATTCAAACATGTCAAACTGCAGGTCAGAACATTCTTCTGTCAGCTGAACCAGACCACTCGGCTCGGAGTTGGAGCAGCTGCTTACTTTCCAGTCGTCTCTGGAGTGTAGAAGGCCACGGCTGCAGCAGTGTGGCTGCGGACCGGACCGACCCGCTTCACAGCCAGTAGCTCCTTGTGTTCAAGCTCCCCCAGGACCAGGAACCAGCCCTCATCCTTCACTTTAGGGAACCTGGGGGCCTGCGCCTTACTGTCCTGCTGTCTCTGGAGGGAGCAAACACAGAGAGACACACAGAGACAGAGACACAGAGAGACATACAGAGACATAAACACACAGAGAGACAGAGACACAGAGGCAGAGAGACACAAAGACAGAGAGACACACTGTTAGAACAGTCATTTCTTATCATATTATTTATGATCATTTTATTTTCATGTCCTCTTCAGTGGAAAAACCCAGAAGAGAATTGTATGATGTTTTACAATCTTTAAACCACCTACCAAGCTTGCAAAAACTTGTTGTTCCAGTCTGCCCTTCCCTCAAAAACAGACTGTGACTTATTGCTAAAAACATGTAAACAACCTGCTCTATACGATCATGCCCATCATTGTTTGAATTGAATAAAAAGGCGTAAAGGGAATGAGCATGTCGAAGAGAGTCTGAAGAAAGGACGCCTCAGGCTCTTCTTCCCTTTGCAAAGAAAATCTCACTCTTTGTGTCCGTGTTCATTTGTTTAAACCTAACAAAACTTGGTTGCCGTGACCCAGATTCCAACATACTCAGACGCTGACAGGAGGAGGAAAGCACCGAAGCCCGTCAACAGTCAAACTCGTCCAGGACGATCTGAATCAAAGCCCCGGTGAGCGATGTTCTTCACCGGGCCGGTGAAAATAGGAGTTTCCTTCACCTGCCAACACTGAATTGACGGAATCCGGACCTTTGAGACGAACTGGCACACAATAGAGTGAGTACTGTTTTTTTTGTGAAAATTTTTCGGAAATTGTGGCGCTGAAGGACCACAGAGTAGAGAAATCAGCATGATCACGCTGAAATGATCCTTGAGAATAAGTGGCGCTGAAGGACCACAGATCCCCTCCATGGGCTGCCACCTTACTGTGGTGGAGGGGTTTGAATGTCCCAATGACCCTAGGAGCTATGCTGTCAGGGGCTTTTCGCCCCTAGTAGGGTCACCAATGGCAGACAGGTCCTAGGTGAGGGACCAGACAAAGTGCAGCCCAAAATCCCCTTTGATGAGAAAAATAAACGGACCTAATATTCCCTTGCCTGGACGTGGGTCACCGGGGCCCCACTCTGGAGCCAGGCCTGGAGGTGGGGCACGCAGGCGAGCGCCTGGTGGCCGGGCTTTTACCCATGGAGCTCGGCCGGGCACAGCCTGAAGAGGAGATGTGGGTCCCCCTTCCCATGGGCTCACCACCTGTGGGAGGGGCCAAAGGGGTTGGGTGCATAGTGGGATGGGTGGTGGCCGAGGGCGGGGCCCCTGGCGGTCTGATCCTCGGCTACAGAAGCTGGCTATTGGGACGTGGAATGTCACCTCACTGGTGGGGAAAGAGCCTGAGCTGGTGTGTGAGGCTGAGAGGTTCCGGCTAGAAATAGTCGGACTCACCTCTACGCATGCCTCTGGCTCTGGAACCAGTTTCCTTGAGAGGGGCTGGATACTCTTCCACTCTGGAGTTGCCCCTGGTGAGAGGCGCCGAGCAGGAGTGGGCATACTTATTGCCTCCCAACTTGGTGCTTGTGTGTTGGGGTTCACCCAGGTAAATGAGAGGGTGGCCTCCCTCCGCCTATGTGTGGGGGGACGGGTTCTGACTGTCGTTTGTGCTTATGCACCAAACGGCAGTTCAGATTATCCACCCTTTCTGGAGTCCTTGGAAGGGGTACTGGAAAATGCACCTCCTGGGGACTCCCTTGTTCTGCTGGGGGACTTCAATGCTCATGTGGGCAATGACAGTGAGACCTGAAGGGGTGTGGTTGGGAGGAACGGCCCCCCTGATCTGAACCGGAGTGGTGTTCTGTTGTTGGACTTCTGTGCTCGTCATGGATTGTCAATAACGAACACCTTGTTCAAGCATAAGGGTGTCCATATGTGCTCTTGGCACCAGGACACCCTAGGCCGCAGTTTGATGATTGACTTTGTCATCGTCTCATCTGATCTGCGGCCACATGTCTTGGACACTCGTGTGAAGAGAGGGGCGGAGCTGTCAACTGATCACTACCTGGTGGTGAGTTGGCTCTGATGGTGGGGGAGGATGCCGGTCAGACCTGGCAGACCCAAACGTATTGTGAGGGTTTGCTGGGAACGTCTGGCAGAGTCTCCTGTGAGACAGAGTTTCAACTCCCACCTCCAAGAGAACTTTGAACATGTTCCGAGGGAGGTGGGGGACATTGAGTCTGAGTGGACCATGTTTCGTGCCTCTATTGTCGAGGCGGCTTACCAGAGCTGCGGCCGCAAGGTTGTCGGTGCCTGTCACGGCGGCAACCCTCGAACCCGATGGTGGACACAGTCGGTGAGGGATGCTGTCAGGCTGAAGAAGGAGTCCTATCGGGCCTTTTTGGCCTGTGGGACCCTGGAAGCAGCTGACGGGTACCGGCAGTCCAAGCGACATGCGGCTCGGGTGGTTGCTGAGGCAAAAACTCGGGCATGGGAGGAGTTCGGAGAGGCCATGGAGAATGACTTCCGCACGGCTTCGAGGCGATTCTGGTCCACCATCCGGCGTCTCGGGGGAGAAAGCGGTACGCCACCAACACTGTTTATAGTGGGAGTGGTGTGCTACTGACCTCAACTCGGGATGTTGTGGGTCGGTGGGCGGAATACTTAGAAGACCTCCTCAATCCCACCGGCACGTCTTCCACTGAGGAAGCGGAGCCTGGGGACTCTGAGTCGGGCCCTCCAATCTCTGGTGCTGAGGTCACCGAGGTGGTTAAAAAGCTCCTCGGTGGCAGGGCCCCAGGGGTGGATGAGATTCGCCTGGAGTTCCTTAAGGCTCTGGATGTTGTACGGTTGCGTTGGCTTACGCAACTCTGCAATATTGCGTGGACATCGGGGGAAGTTCCCCTGGATTGGCAGACCGGGGTGGTGGTCCCCCTATTCAAAAAGGGGGGCCGTAGAGTGTGTTCCAACTACAGGGGAATCACGCTCTTAAGCCTCCCTTGTATGGTCTACTCGGGAGTTCTGGAGAGGAGGGTCCGTCGGATAGTCGAACCTCGGATTCAGGAGGAGCAGTGTGGTTTTCGTCCTGGCAGTGGAACACTGGACCAGCTCTACACTCTCAGCAAGGTCCTGGAGGGTGCATGGGAGTTTGCCCAACCGGTCTACATGTGCTTTGTGGACTTGGAGAAGGCGTTCGACCGCGTCCCTCGGGGAACCCTGTGGGGGGGTACTCTGGGAGTATGGGGTACCGGGCCCTTTGATACGGGCTGTTAGGTCCCTGTATGATCGATGTCAGAGCCTGGTCCGCATCGCCGGCAGTAAGTCGGGCTTGTTCCCGGCTTAGTTGGACTCCGCCAAGGTTGCCCTTTGTCACCGATTCTGTTCATAACTTTTATGGACAGAATTTCTAGGCGCAGCCAAGGTGTTGAGGGGATCTGTTTTGGTGGCCTTAGGATTGCATCTCTGCTTTTTGCAGATGATGTGGTCTTATTGGCTTCATCAGATCATGATCTACAGCTTTCGCTAGAGCGGTTCGCAGCCGAATGCGACGCGGCCGGGATGAAGATCAGTTCCTCCAAATCCGAGGCCATGGTCCATGGTCTTGAGCCGGAAAAGGGTAGAGTGCCCTCTCCGGGCCAGGGCCCTCTCCGGGCCAGGGAGGAGGTCCTACCCCAAGTGGAGGAGTTTAAGTATCTTGGGGTCTTGTTCACGAATGAGGGAAAAATGGAGCGTGAGATCGATAGGCGGATAGGTGCAGCGTCAGCAGTGAAGCAGGCGCTGTACAGGTCTGTCGTGGTGAAGAGAGAGCTGAGTCAAAAGGCGAAGCTCTCAATTTACCGATCGATCTATGTTCCTACCCTCACCTATGGTCAGGAGCTTTGGGTTGTGACCGAAAGAATGAGATCTTTGATACCAGTGGCTGAAATGAGTTTTCTCCGCAGGGTGTCTGGGTTCTCCCTTAGAGATAGGGTGAGAAGCTCGATCATCCGGGAGAGACTCAGAGTAGAGCTGCTGCTTCTCCATGTCAAGAGGAGCCAGTTGAGGTGGCTTGGTCATCTGTTTAGGATGCCTTCTGGACGCCTCCCTGGTGAGGTGTTCCGGACACGTCCCACCGGAAGGAGGCCCAGAGGAAGACCCAGGACACGCTGGAGGGACTATGTTTCTCGGCTGGCCTGGGAACGCTTCGGGATTCCCCCGGAAGAGCTGGCCCAAGTGGCTGGGGAGAGGGAAGTCTGGGCCTCCCTACTTAGGCTGCTGCTACCCCCGCGACCCGACCCCGGATAAGCAGAAGAAAATGGATGGATGGATGGATGGATGAAGGACCACAGAAAGAAGAGCTGTGAAGATACTATGATCTATGTTGACACAGGCTCAAAGAGCTGCGAAAGATACTTAAATGGTGATGGCGAGCATTGAAAATTAAGATTTAGCATTGTTGTAACTAGTTGTATTATTGTTAAAATCTGTATGAATTTAATGCAAACGTTCCCTCAATGGAGCTCTGAGGAATAGTTGTGCATAACTAAAAGTGACAGTATATAAATATAAATAAAATAAAGATAATAACAGTAATAATAATAAGTAACAAGTAATAATAGTAATAATAATAATAGTTAATGAGCCAAATGACAGATGCTTGTCTTTGACTAACTTTATTTTTGAGAGCACAACCGGAATAGCTTTTATTTGAAGCATGGAAACCAGTCTGTTTTTCCCTTCAGGCTCAAAATACCAGTCTCAGCTCACAGCAGCGGGTGATAAACATTCCAAAAGCTTCTCGTTTTTTTAAAGTGACACTGCAGCTTTTCCACACACTCTCAAGAACAAACACACACAAACACAAAATCAAGCTGTGCTGAGGTATGCAGACTTACACAGAACATGGAAAGAGATTATTAGATTTTGGCATAAGTTGGCAACATTACAATTAGTGTCCTTTCTAAGAAGATTTCTAAGAAGAGAAATTGAGGATGTGTTTATAATGGAAGATTTTACGATTTTTAGTAGGGTGTAGGGAATTTTGGCTTTAATTTTGGCTTTGCAGAGTTTTCACTTTTTGTGTAAATTAGTGTTTTCAAAATTCATTGTGTAGAC